CCCCCGGGGGGGCCCCCTGAGGGGGCCCCCGGGGGCCCCGGGGGGGGGCCCCCCTTGTGGTGCTTTTGGGACTTTTTCAAAAGTTTGCGGAAGTCCTTCAAGGGTACAGACACTTGAAAGGAGACAGACACTGCAGTTATGAAATTCTCAAAACCCTCAACTGGGGTGGGGCTGACCACGCTGTACAGACACCCCACAACTGCATGCGCCCCACAAAGTGCAGGCACCCCCTAGGGTTTAGGGTTTAGGGTTTGGGGTTTGGGGTTTTAGAGCCTAGGGTTTAGCTTTCAGCATCCGCGGCCTAGGGCCTAGCTTTTAGGGTTTAGGGTATATCTTTTACAATTTAGCCCTTAGCTTCTAGGGTTTAGGGTAGGGTTTAGGGTACTGCAGTTAGGGTTTAGGGTTTAGGGTGTAGCAGTTAGGGTTTAGGGTTTAGGGTTTAGGGTTTAGGGTTTGCGCACGGGAGGCGGAAGGGCGTGGCTTCTGGGGGCAAGTCCACTGCGGAGTCGGGAGCAGCAGCAAAAGTGGGATCGATCCCAGAAAGAGAAAGTGTGGGGTTTTCGGCGAAGACCAAATGCAAAAAAGTCCCCAAAAAGTGCTCGGGATCGGCGATCCCCAACGCGATCCCAGCCGCCAGGTCCCTGCAGCAGCAGCAGCAGCAGCAGCAGCAGCAGCAGCAGCAGCAGCGGCGGCAGCGGCAAAGCGAGGAGACGTGGAGTACGCGCGAGAAGCATGCGGCTAAACGAAAGGGTCGCGGAACTAGCCAACTAGCTAGCCAGCTAGCTAGCTATCTAGCCAGCTAGCTGGCTAGCTAGCTAGCTAGCTAGCTAGCTATATGGGTATCTATTCAGCCGCATAACTATCTAGCTCGCCAGCTGCCCAGACACATAATTATCTAGCCAACTAGCTAGCCAGATACGCGGTTAGCTAGCTAGCAAGCTAGCTAGCTAGCCACACACGTAGCCAGCTAGCTAGCTAGCTACACGGCCAGCCAGCCAGCCAGCCAGCCAGCCAGCTAGCTAGCTAGCTAGTCAGCTAGCTAGCTAGCTAGCTAGCTAGCTAGCTGTGGGGACTGACTTCTCGTAGCTGTCTCCGAAGAAGAAGAGGCGAGTGTCTTTGTGGAAAAGAGGCTCGGGCTCGCCCCGCAGCCGCGGCTGCTGCTGCAGCATTTCCAAAAGACTTGTGAACTTTCCTTTTCCCCGACCCCTTTTTCCTAAACATTTCCAAAACATTTCAACAAATCCAAACCCTTTTGCCCTTTCTGCGCAACCCCACCAAAAACCCTTTAAATGCATATACAAGAGGGCCCCCGGGGGCCCCCAGGGGGCCCCAGGGGGCCCCCTAGGGCCCCCGGGGGCCCCCAGGGGGCCCCCTAGGGCCCCCGGAGGACCTAGGGGGGCCCCAGGGGGGCTCCAGGGGGCCCCAGGGGGTCTTAGGGGGGCCCCCAAGGGGAGGCGCAGGGAGAAGTAGGGGGGCCCCAGGGGGGCCCCATGAAGAAAGAAAGTGGGAAGGAGGAGACAGTGAGAAAGAAGGAGAAATAAAAAGACAGAAAGAAAGAAAGAGAATTAAAAGAGACAAACAAAAAGCCAAATGAAGCAAAGAGATAAAAAAAGAAACAAAAGAGACCTCAGAATCGTAAGAGCCTTAGGGGCCCCTGGGGCCCCCCTGGCGCCCCCTGGAGTCCTTCGGGGGCCCCCTGGGGCCCCCCTTTACGCCCTCACTGGGGCCCCCTTGGGGCCCCCTTGGGGCCCCCTTGGGACCCCCTTGGGGCCCCCTTGGGACCCCCTTGGGGCCCCCTTGGGACCCCCTTGGGGCCCCCTTCCCCCTTGGGGCCCCCTTGGGGCCCCCTTGGGGCCCCCTTGGGGCCCCCTTGGGGCCCCCTTGGGACCCCCTTGGGGCCCCCTTGGGGCCCCCTTGGGGCCCCCTTGGGGCCCCCCTGAGGGTAGCGAAGTAGCATGCAAAGGCGGACCTGTGAAGACAGCTTTGAGGAGTGGAATTCGGTTCTCGTGGCGCACAGTGGGGGCCCCCAGGGGGGGGGCCCCCCCCAGCTGTTGGGCCTCAGTGGAGAAAATGGCGGCCAAGTTGGAGTACAAACTGCGAGGCCTAAACCCCACTCGCACGGAGGGCCTCGCGGAGGTCAGCACCAGGGGTACCCAGGGTCCAGGGACGCGGCCGCGGGGGCCCCACAGCGGGGGGGCCCCCCTGGGGGCCCCCCGGGGGCCCCCCCGGGGGCCCCCCAGGGGGCCCCCCAGGGGGCCCCCCAGGGGGCCCCCCCCGGGGGGCCCGCGCGCCGTCGTCCCTCCGACGCCCTCCCCCTGGAAGAAAGCCCCCTGGGGGGCCCCCAGGGGCCCCCCCAGAGTCGCCCCCTGAAGGGCCCCCTTGGGGGCCCCCTGGGGGGCCCCCTGGGGGGGCCCCTGGGGGGCCCCCGGGGGGGCCCCCCGGGGGGAACGGCCGAGGGATAAGAGGTAGAAGGCCGCGCCGATCCCAGGGTAAGGCGATCCCCGGGGGTAGCTGGGATCGACTCCTCCCAAGTGGATCCCAAGGCCCCTCAACTTCCAGCCCCCCGAAGACACAGAAGTGTCATCAAAGTCTGCAGCAATTGCCACTTGGGGCCCCACACCCCGCAGCAAATAAAAGTCCAGGGGGGCCCCCAAGGAGGCCCCCGGGAAGTCCCGCTCCAGCAGCCGCTCCAGTACCCTCAGGGGGGCCCCCAGCCGCCACTCCACTGCAGCTCTCCACTCCAGCGGCTGCTGCAGCCGCAAAGGCGCTTCTGCGAAACAGCAGCAGCAGCAGCAGCAGCAGCAGCAGCAGCAGCAGCAGCAGGGGGGAGGACGGGGTGTCGCAGGGGCAGCAGGCGGCGAGGCGCGAGCAGCGCAGCTGGGAAAGTCGCCGTTATCGTCATTAACTCCAGCAGCAGCAGCAGCAGCAACAAGAGCAGCAGCAGCAGCAGCAGCAGCAGCAACAGGAGCAGCAGCAGCAGCAGCAGCAGCATGGCTCACCCTGCCGCAGCAAAGGCAGCTCCTCTACCGTCGTCTCTCCTGCGCAGACACGGAAGCACACGAACTGCCGCTGCAGCAAACACAAGAAGCTGCAGCGGCTGCAGCAGCAGCAGCAGCAGCAGAAGCAGCAGCAGGTCATGAAGTAGACGCAGCAGCAAAAGCAGCAGCAGCAGCACCACAGAGAAGAGAAACACAAGGCAGCAGTGGCTGCCGCTGCAGCAACAGCAGCAGCAGCAGCAACCGCGGTGTCAGGCGAAGCATCAGTGGCAGCAGCAGGCACAAAGCTCGCAGCAGCACAAAAGTTAGCAGCAGCAGCAGCACAAACGTTAGCAGCAGCAGCACAAACGTTAGCAGCAGCGGCACAAACATTAGCAGCAGCAGCACGAACTTTAGCAGCAGCAGCACAAGCATTAGCAGCAGCAGCAGCACAAGCGTTAGCAGCAGCAGCACACAAGTTAGCAGCAGCAGCACAACAGTTTGCAGCAGCAGCAGCAGGCACAAAGCTAGCAGCAGCAGCACAACAGTTTGCAGCAGCAGCAGCACAACAGTTTGCAGCAGCAGCAGCGTTCATAGTCCTCGAAAGAAAAGCAAATAGCTGCAGCGGAAGCAGGAGCTGCAAGAGAGCATTACCAAAGCGCAGCACTCGCAGGAGCACCAGAAGCAGCAGCAGAAGCAGCAGCAGCAGCAGCAGCAGCAGCAGCAGCAGCAGCAGCAGCAGCAGCAGCAGCAGCAGCAGCAGCAGCAGAGCAGCAGCAGCAGCAGCAGCAGCAGCAGCAGCAGCAGCAGCAGCAGCAGCAGCAGCAGCAGCAGCAGCAGTGTGGTTGCTTACTGGCTTCTGTAACATCAATTTTACCTCTAACCATCCGCTTCAGGGCCCTCACCAGTTGGCGTGTGGCCCTGCGAGCTCTCCTGCAGACACCTTTTGCTGCAGCAGCAAAGAGCAGCAGCAGCAGCAGCAGCAGCAGCAGCAGCAGCAGCAAAGCGCAACCGCAGCAAGCATAACACCACGTGCCTTCGGAGTCACCAACATTGCAGCAAAATGTATCGCGGTCTCTGACCGCCTGCTGCTGCAGCATCCGCCTCTGCTACTGCTGCTGCTACTACTACTGCTGCTGCTGCTGCTGCTGCTGCTGCTGCTGCTGCTGCTGCTGACCTGCTGCTGCTTTGATGAGTCTGCTTCTGGCTTCTTCGTCAGCAGTGAAGGCGCAAATGAGTTTCATTTTGAGCCAGGGGCGGCTGCGGTGCAGCACTATGGCAGAAAGACTCTGCAGCAAATCGTTTTTTTCTTTTTCGCTCATTTGCTTCCCCTTCAGACGCAAAAAGTTTATTGCTTCCTCTGAGCAGCAGCAGCAGCAGCAGCAGCAGCAGCAGCAGCAGCAGCAGCAGGAACAAGAGCCGCAGCGTGAGGCGCTCTTAGCAGCAGCAGCAGCAGCAGCAGCAGCAGCAGCAGCAGCAGCTCCTTCTATTCTTAACAATATGCTTCTATGCAGCCGTGAGAAGGCTGGCTAGCTGCTGTTAAGCCGTTAGCTAGCTGGCTAGCCGCTGACTAGCTGTCTGGCTAGCCACCTGGCTAGCTGCCGGCCAGCTAGCTAGCTAGCTAGCTGGCTAGCTCTTGGCTACCAACCTGGCTAACTGTTTGCTAGCTAGCTAGCTAGCGACTAGGCAGCTAGTTAGCTGTAGACTAGCTAGTTGGCTAGCCAGCTAGCCAGCCTTGACTAGCTAGCTAGCTAGCCAGCTTTGACTAGCTAGCTAACTAGCCAGCTTTGACTAGCTAGCTAGCTTTGACTAGCGAGCTAGCTAGCCAGCTTTGACTAGCTAGCTAGCTAGCCAGCTGCTGACTAGCTAGCTAGTCAACAGCTAGCTGGCTAGCCAGCTGGCTAGCTAGCCCGCTAGCTGTTGACTAGCTAGCTAGCTAGCTAGCTAGCTAGCTAGCTAGCTGTTGGGGAGCTGACCCTGAAGGTGGGGTCTTTGAGTCGGGCTGCGTGGATGGGCTGCAGCAAACTTGCTGCTGCTTTGAGGGGCGCGAGAGGGTCTGGACTTTTTGCTGCTATTTTGTGAAGAGCAGCAGCAAGAGTTTTTTTGCTGAGCAGCAGCGCGGGCGCATGCAGCCCCCGGGGGGAAGCAAAGAGGGGAGTGAGGGGGGCCAGGAGTTTCTTTTCCAACTCTTTTGCTGCTGCTGCTTTCCGCCCTTCTTTCCTTTTTGCTGCTGCTGCTGCTGCTGCTGCTGCTGCTGCTGCTGCTGCTGAGGACCCGTCCTCCTGCAGCCCCACGTACACCACCGAGCCCAGGTGCAGGCGAGCTGTACAGACACCAAGACAAACTGCAGCAGCAACCCCTCAAGCAGCAGCAGCAGCAGAAGCAGCAGCAGCAGCAGCAGCAGCAGCAGCAGCAGCAGCAGCAGCGAGAGGGAGAGAAAGTAGCAGCAGCGGGACAAGAAGCAGCAGCCAAGGGGGAGACACAGCACCAGCACCAGCAGCAGCACCTGCGCCTGCATCTGCAGCAGCAGCAGCAGCAGCAGCAGCAGCAGCAGCAGCAGCAGCAGCAGCAGCAGCAGCAGCA